TCAACACCATGGCGGAAGAGAGAACCTCCCAGCCTGATGGCAAGTACCACCACAGTCCATACCCATAAGGAAACCTGTTTCCAAGAACAAAGCACTAAACAACCTCACAAAGCCTGAGGCTTCTCTCTGTCAGGAACAGGTCACCATGCAAGTCCCCATCATCACAACTTCCTCCATTTTATCGGTGTTAAGCACTGACAGGCACCTGACAGGCTCTACGTGGGGAAAGGAGGAATCACATAGTGCCAAAGCTGGACCGCCTGATTATGTCAACCAGAATCCTCTTACCTTAGCCCCAAAGAGTTACAAACATTGATTATTTTATTCTAAGCGGTACCTCCAAATTTGGTCAGCTGTGTCTGGGAAGCCGGACAGACAGATGTACATGAATAATTAAGGGAAATGAGAAACAGTGTGACATAATGAAAAATCAATGGGTTTGAAAACCAGATCAAGCAAGACTCATTCCGCTCCTAACCAGTTCTAAGAACTTGGATAAGTTGCTTAACCTCCTTGCATCTCACTTCCTTTATCTTCAAAACATGGGTTGAATGGTTTGCGCACTATCCTCCAGTTCCGAAATCCTAGAATTCTACAGAGCCCCTTACATCTCTACTCAACAATCAACCAGGTAAGTACTCATGGAACACTGCATGCTTCAGGTTGGGTACAGTTCGAGCCCTGACCCCTTACCCGCGATCACCTATCACATTAGCAATGACTAATCAAAATGTTATTGATCAACAAGAACAGTGAACAAGTAGTCAACAAGTCAACTGAAACACCTGGAGTTTCCCACAATAGTGAAGTAATAAACTGGTACCATCTCCAAAAGGCAATTTTGCTTCTATACCAGAAGTCCTCTTCAAAGCCATGACCTATGACCCACTTAATTACAGAAATATTTATTAGTCATTTGAAAACTGGATGTAAACAGTAGGTCCAACTGCAGACAAATTACACAATTAAATTGTACTCATGACAATGGTGATTTAGAATATTTAATGACATAGGCAAACACATAATGTTAAGCAAGGTAAGCAGGATATAAAATTATATACATGGCATGACCATAATTGTATATAATGTATGAATATGCTCCATATTACCAGGTATATATGTAAACTATTTATAAATAACACTAAGAGGACAGATAACATGGGAACAGCAGGGAGTATTTTATTTTCTTCTTTGATGTTTCCATATTCCAAAATCTCTATTTTCACATGTAATAACTTCATAGTCCAAGGAATTTTTAGTCTATGTACAGCATTGTAGGACACAAAACAATGAGGACTCCAGCAATTACTAACTCAGTCTTCCTATTACCCTATTAACAAGCATTAGGAGTTCAGACAGAGAGACATTCCTAGAGGCTGGCAGTAGGGTGGGGATGGGAATTCACCAGTAGAATTTAGGTTTACAGAATAACGCTTAAGAGCACTGACTCTAGAGCTAGATTTTGCCAAGAATCAAATCCTAGCCCTGCCATTTATCAACCATGTGAGTTTAGGCAAGTCACTCCAACTCTCAGACTCAGTCTTCTCCTCTATAAAATAGGACTGCTCTCAGTTCCTTCCTCACAGAGTTCTTGTGAGAAATAAACAAATTCAGTTAGGAGTTTTAGGGTGGTGTCTGACACACAGTAAGAACACATAAGTACTGAGACAATGATTAGAAGGGCATTTTAGACTACATATGCATAATACCTTAATAGCTCACCCTTTTGCTGAATTCTTTGAGAATTTGTTGTATATGTCTTTCTTTGAGAGAGACATATACAACTCACACTTCACACTTCTGTGAAGGAAGGACTATCATTATGCCCAATCTATAGATAAGAAACCTAAAAGATGAACTGTCCAAGGTAAGTGGCTGAACCAGCATATGATCCCACGCTAATGTGACCCCAGAACGCACGCTCTTAAACCACGACACTATGACAGAGCAGCAAATAAGTTCACCCTGAGTGGTCGGTGGACCTTCAAAGAGTCCAGGAACTATAGCTGACAAGGTGCACGGAACTGGAGAATGAAAGCCAGACAAATGAGTTAAAGCCCTAATTCATTAGGCAATTGGGAGCTAATAAAGATTTCTGAGCAAAGTAGTTGGTTACAGGACAAAAGAGTAATGTAAGGAAATTAGTCTGGTAGATAAACATGGGATATGTTGGAATGGGGTTTTTGACAGAGAGATTATAGACAAAGCAGCTGGTGTGGTGGTGAGGGACTGACTGGGCTACATGAGACGATAAGGAGAAAACAGCAGGGCAACTTAAAAAAACTGCTTTGAAGGAAAAATTATGAGAACTTAGAAACACTACATGCTGGGAGAAAAACAAAAACAAAAACAAAAAACAGGGACAAACAAGCCACATCCCACAACCCAAAGAGGGCCGGACTAGAAACGCTTCCTTTCATTTTGATTTCTGTAAATTTGGTGAAATATTTAATGCCATTACTTATTTGTAAAACATCTTTTTAAAAACCTGGCCAACAATAGCACAAAACAAAGCGTCACGCAACACTGTGGTCTGTGGGAGCAACGCTGAGTGAGGGAAAAGGTATGCTGCCCTAAGCGACAAAGGTGATTAGCAAGAAATCATAGGGCATGAACATCTCCTGTGTAAAGGAAGTGGCAATTTACAAAATCAAGATAAAGCACCCACTAATGGCTAATGCTGACAAAGGGCCCAGGTCTGATAACATCTCCCAGGACAAAGACAAGCTGATTTACCCCTTGCTTTAAAGAGGCAGCCAGAGCTTGCCAACAAAAATATGTGATTGATCTAATTAGCTTACTGAACTGAGTAAAACGGTACCAAAAATCATGTGTACTCACAGACTGGCCCTTTCAGGACAAAGCAGTATCGCATAAAAGCCTATCCTTCAACTTAAATGCTCACGCTCATTAAAAGGGACTGAAACCCAGCAGTACTCAGCAGGCAGGAGCTTAATGAATATTACTGGAGAGCGATGACACAGACAGGAGTCTTGAAAGAATGAGCTCTCACGGTGGAAAAGAGGAAGATCCATCAAGGACTGCCAAAATGTATGCATGGCGGTTAAAGTGCAATTCCCAGCCCAGGCCAGGCGATCTGACTTCAGTCCACCTGCATTAACATTCCCACTCTCGACTTTAATGGTTTATTAACCTAATGATAATGTCTGTCTTCACTCAAGGTGATTAGCAAATAGAAGCGATGTCTGTTGAGTCCGGCAAAGTCATTCACTCATTCAGCAAATGTTCTTGGGCACTTAGCATGTGCAGGTAATAAATGACTGTCTCTATCTAGTTTTGTTGCTAAAGCCAGAGAGGGTCTAAAAACCAGTTCGGTGTGCTTAAAAAAAAAAAAAAAAAAACAAAAAAACAAACCTTTCATGAACAGAGATGAACAACCCACAGAAAAGGAAAGTGACAACACTAGCTTCCCCTAATAGTGTGCAGACCACAAGGGACGGTAGACTCTCGAGTTACAATTAGAGGGTATATATATATTTCCAAAAAGCACATTTTCTTCTTCAGGAAATGTATTATTCAACTGTGTCTCTCCTTTGGACTCTGGCCCAAGTCGGTACAAGGAAAATTTTATGTAGTTGTTTATCCAAGTTGTCTTGCCTGTTCTACCTTCAACACCTCTGCTTAGAAGGACCCTTGGTCCAGGAAGCTGTATGCAGCTCACACTCGTGGAGCCCTGGGTCGGCTGGGTGTGACCTGAGGAGCTGGGCAGCCTGCCTGACTTGGGAACACAGGACACCCTCGGAGGACATAATGGGAACAGAACAGACTCAGCCATATAAGCTGATTATTACTATTTTTTTATTTTTGAAACTTACTTTTACCTCTAAGACCTTCTATAAAAACAACTTATCAGTTCACGTCTGAAGTAAGGATAATTTATTACACCCAATTTTACTGCTTCGAGTCTCTTTTGAATACCCTTGAACTTGAAAAATGAGTCACTTTGTATCATCTTATATTGAATGATGAACGTCATTTATGTGAGAAATTTTTCACAGGAACAGAAAACAAAATGTTGATTTTACCAATTGAGAATTACTGATATTTAAGTATCCAAAAAACTAAAACTAAATAGAGCTATGGTTAAAAAAAATAATAAACATATCAAACTTCAGTTTTCAGTAAGAATTGTTTTGAAAGGTATTTTTACAGATACTGTGGCTTTTAGAACGATGTTTTCTCTGAAAAGAAAACCTGCCCCTCACCCGGTTGTAGACCAGTCTTAGTCAACTACTCAGTTTTGTTAGCATATAGCTCTATAGGAAGGAACAACTGTAAATACTCTATTGCAATTAAGATGATAACCAGTAGATTAACAGAAAATGTCATTCAAGGCAGAGAATCATTAAAAATGACATATGTACACATCTTAAACACCTTCTTTTATCAAGAACCCTAAAAAAGTAAATTTACTTGCCAATATTTTCACACTGCAAGCTATTTTCTTCAAGTACAGGCGTCCTGACTGAAGTTCAAAGTTGCCTTTCTTGCATGAACCTCATAAGGTATACGCTCATAATGTATAATATAACATTTCCAGTGTGGCTACTCGAAGTTGAGAAACACCTCAGTGTGAATTAAAGTGTAGAATCTTTTCATCTTTTATTTTTTTTTTAAAGATTTTATTTATTTATTTGACAGACAGAGATCACAAGTAGACAGAGAGGCAGGCAGAGAGAGAGAGGGAAGCAGGCTCCCTGCTGAGCAGAGAGCCCGATGCGGGACTCGATCCCAGTACCCTGAGATCATGACCTGAGCCGAAGGCAGCGGCTTAACCCACTGAGCCACCCAGGCGCCCCTCTTTTCATCTTTTAAACATCTTCCCAATCTGTTAGAGTTATCGCTTCGCCATCCGATTCGACAGCAATGTCATAACGGCAACGTGCCCATATTTAGTCTTTACAAAGACTTCAACTTCATAGAAACAGCTGTTTTCACACACATATTTCACCAGTTTGTATGTTGCCTGATGAAGTGACCTAATTGCTGTAATGATGCACACAGCTCAGCCAGGGGAGAAGCCTGAGAACACCCAGCAAGTCGTCAACCAGACAGAACACTCCGCAGGAGGTGGGCAGCGTGGTTTCCAGAGAGAAGAGAGAGAACCGAAGGTCCAGGGAACCACTGAGACAGGTTAAGAGAACTCCCATTACATGACAAGAAAGAAGCCAGTCGTGTTTTCAAGAGCTAGCCTCTAGCTTAAAAGGGTATCTCCAGGCAAAGTTATGTCCTGTTTAGAGAACATGTCAGTTAACATCTCTCGGGGAGGGAACTTCTGTGTCTTTCTCAGCAGCCCTTGGGGGAGAAGTGCTAGAGAGTGGTTCTTTTTGAGAAAGGAAGCATGTACAGCTATCTGTATAGCCCAAGGTGGTCCCAGAGTGTAGTTTCCAGTGGCTACTCTGGACAGTAATCCCTAACAGACAAGCTGGTGGAAAAACTGCCAGCTGGTGAGAAAAACCTGACACATAGATTGCAAGCAGAGTCTCCCACACCACACAGTTTCCCCTCACCAAACACGCACACGCTCAAAAGATGCTGCTCCGTACCCACACAAGACTATTACAACTGGCAGTCAGAATACTAAATCTAGCTCCCTGCCTTACTCTTTTATTACTATTATTTTCATTTGGAGATCTGAAGGTACAGTACTCATGATCCAGTCTGCCACAGACTCTACCCCTCCCTATGGTCTCACACCTGTCTCAGTCCAGTGGGAAGGCCACTGAAGCAGCTGGATATCGTACAGCTCCAGTGTACATAGATTCTGTACAGATACTTTGGTTTGTCTCTTGGTAACATGAGGAATGCTTTCAGAGAGAAGGTATTGCCTTGGCAGCAGCACCCAACCCTACCACTCAAGAAAGACCAGAGCATTCACTTACTGCGGACAAACAGAAATGACTGAGGAACGGTTCAGAAACTTGAGCCTTCATGAGAACCATGGGAGAACCTTGTAAAAATGCAGATTCCTTGGAGCCCTAATCCCTCACCTTCTGATGCAGTAGGTCTAGGAGTGGAGATCCAGGAATCTGCATTTTAATAAGCATCCGAGGTACATACTTCTATTACATTGGTACAAGAGGTATAATAATAAAAGTATGAACAATGAGCACCATACGTGCTCCCCAGGCCATGCTCCAAGCCCTTTACATGTAATGACTTAATACTTGGAGCACCCCCATGAGGTAAATAATGCTTATTATCCCCACATTACGAATGAGGAAACGAGAAGAGAGATTAAGAAGCATGCCTCTGCTGACTCAGCTAGTGAGGGGAAGAGCAGGAGTGAAAAACTAGGCCATTTTGCTCAAGAGCGCACAGTCAACTGCCCGCCTATACTACACACTACCACCTTGGCCTAAGGGAAGCCATCATATATAAAATACAAACCCCTAAAGGTTTGCAGCTTCTGACTCAGCAAAAGCCCCTTTTTGGGTTGCGGGGGAGCCCACTAGTCCCAGGGATGCCCATTTCCACATTCATCACCATTCTTCACAGTAAAAATAGAGAGTTTCTTTTGCTTGTTACAATTCAAGAAGCTGTAGAGCTGGCAAGAGACTGTGAATAGGATAAATGATCAGACTCAGGGGCCCCCATTCTGAAGCAGGAGTGTAACATCTTGTGAAAGCTCCTGACAGCATGAAATAAAAGGGAGTCCTTATATCCTCCCAACTGAAGATGTGAGAAAGGGGAAGACAATAGCCCACTTATTAATAAAGCTAAAAATATTCCAACCTGATTCCTACACAGTTACCCCAAGCAGAAAAATCATGATCAATCTTAGAGGGTCTCTGAGGAACGAATCAAAAGGCCATGCTGGCTAGACAGAGAGTTCTGAGACTCAACACCAAGAACATGATCCATAAAAGGAAAAATTGATAAATTGAACCTCATCAAAATTTTAAAAACTTCTTACTCTCTAAAAGCGTATGTGAAGAAGATGAAAAGACAAAATAAAGACTGGCAAAAAAAAAAAATCTGCAAATGACACATCTGACAAAGTGTCTAGAATACTCAAGAACTCTCAAAACTCAACAGCAAAAGTAAGTAATCCAATTAGAAAATGGGCAAAAGCTGTGTATGGACATTTACCACAATGACATCTATCAATAACCACAATATACATCTATCAAAATAAGCTAAAATTTTAAAGAGTGACAAATACCAAATGTTGGTGAGGATGCAGAGAAACTGCATCACTCACACACAGCTGGTGGGAAGTGAACTGGTACAACCACCGTTTTGGTAACATGTAACGGCCATACAACCCAGCAACCGACCTCCTGCATATTTATCACAAACAATGAAACTTACCTTCGCACAAAACCCTATGCACAGAGGCTCACGGCAGCTTTCTTCGCAACAATCAAAAACTAGAATCACCCCAGATGTCCAACAGGTGAATGGTTAAACAAATCGTACCATGTCCATACCATGAAATATGACTCATCAGTAAAAAGTAACTATTGCTAACAGCAACAGCTTGGGTAAATTCCAGGGAATTGTGCTGAACGAAAAAGGATGCATACTACAAACTCCATTTATAGAACATTTTTGAAATGACAAAAATAAATGGAGGACGGATTAGTGGTTGCCAGGGCTTAGGGACAGGAAGAGAAGGGCTGGGAGGGCAGGAGGGAAGTGGCATGATTACAAAAAGGGAACTGCAGGGGTGCCTGGGTGGCTCAGTGGGTTAAAGACTCTGCCTTCGACTCAGTTCATGATTCCGGGGTCCTGGGATCAAGCCCTGAATCAGGCTCTCTGCTCAGCAGGGAGCCTGCTTCCTCCTCTCTCTCTGCCTACTCTCTCTCTGTCAAATAAACAAAATCTTTAAAAAAGAAAAAAAAAGGGGAGAGGGATTGCAGTGTCAGAACCCCTCAGTATCTTGACTGTGGTGGGGGCACACAAAACCTACACGGATGGTAAACTTGTCCAGAACTTCAGGTAATACAGGCACTCACAAAAATGAGAACAAATAAAACTGGGGAAGGTCTGTGGATGGTATTAATGTCAATATCCTGGTTTTAATATTATACTCTAGTTTTGCAATCTGTTTCCATTGGGGGAAACAGGGCAAAGAGTACAAGGAGTTTCCCTGCATTATTTCTTACAGCAGCATGTGAGTTTACAATTATCTTAAAAAAAAAAAAAGGTCTATGATCCCAAGTATGTAGGTGAAATCAAGCACTGCGTCCTTCCACTGGGAAGGTAAAATGGCACACCCTTTCCGGAGGACATTTGTCAATGCTATCAAAAGTGAGAAACACACCCTTTGATCCAATGACTTGATCATTAGGTGATTAATGATAATGAATAATTTATGACACATCAAACATTTAGTTACAAGGGCATTTATTTCAACGGCGCTTTCTCAAAGACCAGAAACAACTAAATGCGGTAGGTCCAAACGATGAGGTTCCAGTTAGTCATCAAAATAACCTTTGGGAGTAAAACCAGTGACCCGGATAGTCGAGACATAGGTAGTTCCATCAATATTCATTCAATTCCTGCTAAGTGCCAGGCCCTGCTGCTGCATCCTGAACTCTGACCATGTCCAACAAAGCGCAGTCCCCATGTTCATTAAACTGTACAGTCTGGTGGACTGGTGGCTGTCTGCTCCAGGTAAGAAGACACTACACATGCATCTCTTTATGTGATTACACACAAAATGCGTGCGCGTCCGCATGTGTACAAATATGCACATACAATTTAAATTCAGGAAGGACACAACCCAAAATGTAAATAGTGGTTATTTCTGGAAAGTGGGGTAGTGTGTGTGTTTAATTTTATTTGTTTTGTTTATCTGTGTATTCTAAATTTCTACAATTAACAAGTTTCACTGGTATTAATTTTAACTATTGAAGGAAAAAAGGTTGGTCCCTAGAGAGTGTTTCTGTCTTTGTTTTTGCTTTTTAGTTTCTTTTGATTTCTACTGGGATGCAATCAGAGTGAAACTTTTCTAAATCTTGTTTCAAAGAACTCAAAGACCTTCTCAATTGTCATTGTGAATAAAGGCAAGCTAACCCAACTGGATTACCTCAGGATAAGAATTACACACATCCAAAACAATTACACAAATTCACAAATTCACGTTTGTGAGCCATTCCTAGCCCTTGGATTGAGCTGGGGTTTCTATTTCAGGCGGTTTGTATTATTTGCTTTTGCTAATTTCTTTTTATCAAAAAAACAAAGCAGATTACAGAAAAAAATTTAATGCAGATATGAAAAGCAACCACAACTAATATCATTCACCCAGACAAAAAAGAACTATTTTAAACTCCAGATATACTACTTTAAACCCACATCTACGTGTAAATATTTGCCAGTTCATGTGGTTACCCTAAGATGGGCTCGCATTGCACATACTGATTTTAAAGCTGTGTAAATTTTTTTGGTTAACAATACATTCCATTCTAATGACATATTTTAACATTAAATATGTATATTTAACCAATCTACTAATGGTTGGGGATCTACAGTCATAAACAGTGGACAATAAACATTTTTTACTAAACATTTGAGCCCATCCTCAGTTTTGTCCTTCCATGAAAAGCCCAGGAGTAGAAATGTAAGGGTACACACACATCTGAAAGCTTTTGATATAAGTGGGCTCCCAGAGAACTGTACTGGTCTACACTCTGAACACCTAGTGTGGGAATGAAAGTGATTCAGTTTCTATGTCCTCACTAATGCTGCTGACCAATAATAAAGATTAACTTGTTCTTAGATTCTCTAGAATTTCACTTTTGGGGAGAAAAAAAATCTTTTTTTTTTTTTAAGATTTTATTTATTTATTTGACAGACAGAGATCACAAGGAGGCAGAGAGGCAGGCAGAGAGAGAGAGGAGGAAGCAGGCTCCCCGCTGAGGAGAGAGCCCGATGTGGGACTCGATCCCAGGACCCTGGGATCATGACCTGAGCTGAAGGCAGAGGCTTTAAGCCACTGAGCCACCCAGGTGCCCCGAGAAAAAATCATTTTAATAGCAGATCAAAATAGAGGACTTATTTGGCTGTCAGTTAAATTAGAAATTTTTAATTTGTCGATTTCACCTTAATTGCAGAAATTGGTCAGACCCTCTAAGGCAAATGAAAGATCATCTAGGCAGGACTCTGTTCAGTCAACA